GGACCTCCGGGGCCTCTCCGGCCTCCTGACCTCGGCTCTCCACATGGGACACGGAGCCCCAGCCGGCTCCTCCTCTAAGGCCGCTGGTCCCTGCAGTGGGACCTGATTCCTCCGGGACGTCACCCCTTTTCCGGGGGAGGGGGGGTGCCTGACACTGTCTTTCTCCATGTGTGTCTCTCCCTACAAAGCCAACGTTCCAGAAAGATCTCTGCTTTCTCTTGTATTCGCTCCCCAGGCCATCTGAGGGCCTGGGCCTCCATAAATCCAGCAACCGATTTTCAGGCCTCACCTTGGCCCCCCACCCCCAGACCCCTCCTCCTCGGGCTTTTCAGGGCACCCTTGCCTGAGCCCCCAGGCTTCTTGGATTGGGAGGGCTGGCAAGCCAGTCTCAGGGTCGTCCCCTGGACCCTGCTCCAGCTCTCGGGCCACTAGTTCTGTGACAACCCCACCCTCCTCCCATCTCCAAAGCAGGCACTCATCCAAAATACTGTCTGCCTGTGTCCCTTCACTGCTCCACAACCTCCCATGGCTCCCTGGCACCCTCCCCTTCACACCCCATCTTGTCCAGAATTGCAGCCTTGCCCTCATCCCCCATTCTGATCACTTTCCTTAGAAGAGCAACCCCTTGTAGCCCCCTTCCCTGTCCTGCTGGAGTTTTCTCTCTAGACCTCTAGCCACCTGACACTGTATTTTACGTTATAGCCGCCTGTCATCTCCCAACTAGGATGTCAGCTCCAAGATCTGTGTCTGTCTTGTTCACTGGTATACAATTAGTGCTCAATAAATGTTTATTCAAACCTCAAACCCAGCTAAAGTGCCCCTAGGCCATGCCCTGCTCAGGGTCCAAGGAGCCACCTAAAGTTGCCTTCACCTTTTGGGACCTCTGCTTCCCCAGCTCCGTTGACATGTGAGTCTAAGGGCCCTTTTCTGCCCCCTCTGGTAAAACCAGGAACAGCAGACACTCACTGCGCCCTCACTGCGCGCCCCGACCACTGTGCGGCGCCCTCTCCTTTAATCACCTCACTGAGTCCCAGTGAGAGCCCAGGGGGTAGGCAGGTCCTGGTGTCCATGTTTTACAGCCAGGAAAACAGACCCAGAGGTTGGGAGGCCCTTGCTGCTGTCCTATTGCAAGGGGAGGAGGACCCAGGTCCACAGTGTCCCCTCAACACCGGCCCCTCCCCAGTCCTCCGCCTGCCTGGCCCTCCTCCCTCAGCGGCTCAGGGCAGCCAGATGGAAGGGGCCACCTCAATTAATCACCTTGTGCTAATCCTCCCCCCACCCTCAGCGCTGGCTGGGCCGGCGGATACCTGGGCTGAAGAGGGGCTCCTAGGGGTGGTGCATGCTGAGCAGGTGAGCAAGGCAGGCGTGGGGGGAGCTGGGGGTGCAGGGAGCCCACTACAGCGCTGGCTGGGCCGGCCACTGGGCCTGTGGATACCTGGGCTGAAGAGGGGCTGCAGGGGTGGTGCGTGCTGAGCAGGTGAGCAAGACAGGCGTGGGGGGAGCTGGGGGTGCAGGGAGCCCACTAGGCAGAGGACTTGGGGGTGAGGAAGCACTAGGAGCAGTGTCCAGCCTGCTTCCCTGGGGGTCTAGACACAGAGGGAGACAAACAGAAAGATGAAGACAGAGCGAGAGGAAGTCAGGGAGAGTTCCAAGGGAAAGAGGAAATGGAGGTGGGGGACAGACAAAAGTCAGAGGAAGTACAGACAGAGGGAGAAAATGAGGTCATCTGAAACCGAGAGAGAGACTGAGGGAGGCAGAATGGATTCAGGACATCATACTCCACACCCAGCAGGTACTGGGGGTCCCCTAGAGCGAGAGGAAGTCAGGGAGAGCTCCAAGGGAAAGAGGAAATGGAGGTGCGGGACAGACAAAAGTCAGAGGAAGTGCAGACAGAGGGAGAAAATGAGGTCATCTGAAAGCGATAGAGACTGAGGGAGGCAGAATGGATTCAGGACATTGTGAGGGAAGAGCCCCTTCACATCATACTCCACACCCAGCAGGTACTGGGGGTCCCCTGCCCTCCCAGCTGGCAGTCCCTCCTGCGGCCTCACCACCATCTGTCCTGCTGTACCACCAGGAGGAGGCGAGGAGGAGCCATGTTCCCGAGCCCTGGTGAGGGGCCTGCGGCTGAGGGTGGGGGGCCGGCCCCCTGTGAGGAGGCCCCCAAGAAGCAGCACCGGAGGAACCGCACCACCTTCACCACGTACCAGCTGCACCAGCTGGAGCGGGCGTTCGAGGCCTCCCACTACCCGGACATTTACAGCCGCGAGGAGCTGGCAGCCAAGGTGCACCTACCGGAGGTGCGGGTGCAGGTGAGGGCACCCCTCAATGACCCAGGGAGGGAGCCAGAGCCGATAGGGACCCTCCCAGTGCACAGGTAAAGAGAGCTGGGAATGCCGCCCGGAGGAGGGGATTTGGGCCTGGGGCTATGACATCTGAGTAGGAGTTTGCCAGCTAGAAAGGAGAAAGGGCATCTCTCTAGGCATCCAAACAGCAAGCGCAAGGATGTGCAGGGTAAGTTAGAAGTTTTCCCGTTGAGCGGGGGAGATGGGTGGAAGGCGAGCCGGAAAACGAAGCTGAGGAAGAGCTTGTGAGCCAAGCTTGCACTTCCTGATCGAAGGCCAGCAAAGACCGGAGGGGCCTGGTTAAAGAGAACGGGGAGGAGGAATGAGAGTCAGAAAAGACTTAGGTGATGTGATGGGGCCGTGAGGCGCCAGGGCCTCTTCTCTCCAGAGAGCCCTGAAGCAGAATAAAAAACATGGCACTGCAGCAGGTAGGGAGTCAGGTCCGACAGCAGGCAGAACCTGCGAGGCTCGGAGGCCGGGAGGGACGCCTCGGAGAAGGGAAGAGCCGACGGGCCCTCCCCACTGCTCTGGGCTGGAATCACCCTCTTGCTGCTTCCAGGTGTGGTTCCAGAACCGTCGGGCCAAGTGGCGGCGCCAGGAGCGTCTGGAGTCCGGCTCTGGGGCTGTGGCAGCCTCAAGGCTCCCTGAGGCCCCAGCACTGCCCTTTGCCCACCCTCCGACCATTCCACTGCCTCTGGAGCCCTGGCTGGGCCCCGGGCCCCCTACCAGGCCAGGTCTCACTCACCTCCTGGGCCCAGCCCCAGGGCTGCAGGCATCCTTCGGGCCTCACGCCTTTGGTCCAGCCTTCATGGAAGGCTTCCCTCTGGAGGAGGCATCCATTCGGTTTCTGGCCAAGGAGCACGCACAGGCTCTGGACAGGGCCTGGCCATCGGCTTGAGCCTGGTGCCGACCAGTCTCCCTCTTCGGCCAGTCCCGAGGGCCTGGGGTGACAGATCTCGGCCAAGGTCATGGAGCAACCCACCAGCAGGCCGGTCTATCAATGAGGAAGGAGACTGCCCATCCCCACCCTCTGTCTGTGGCCACCATGCCAGGTCCCCACTCCACCGAACCCTGCCTTTCCGGGAGACTGGATAGGAGGTGGCCATAGGACTTTCAGGCCAGGGAGGCGAGGCGGGTTCTGGGTGGCCTCGAGGGCGTCTCTGCCCCTCCTTGGGCCTCAGCGCCCCGTCTGTCTAAGGGAGGTGTGCGGGTGGGTGGATTCGGAGGCTCTGGGAGTGTAAGGCTGGAATCGGGAGCCACCAGGACCTTAATTCTTCGAGTCAATGAGTCTAAATCCCTGCTAATCTTTCACCAGCAGAGCCACCCAGCTCTCAGGGCCTCCCTCTCCGAGAAATTACTAACAGCAGAGCAGCTCATGTCCAGCTGCTTCCTTTCATGGTGTGCTTCTGGCCGGAGCCCATCAAGTGAGGGTCAGCCCCATTTTACAGGGGGGTAACTGCGATGGGAAGCCAGTTCCCTGAGGCCACAAAGCCCAGAGGGACTCACGCATTGCCTGACTCCACTGCCCCCGGCATCACTGGGTCCCTGCTGGCTTTGGAAGCAATTGGACCCAGGCCGGGCCTAAGAGGGGACTAGGCTGAGGCTAGGCAAATATTGTCCATCCTTATCCTTGTTCCCTCCATGATTCAGAGTGTGGCTTATGTCCCCATTGACCAGCGACCCTGTTACATCTCCCAGCCCAGCGAGGGTGGGATGGGGCACTGGTGGGCCAGCATTTGTTCTGTCAACTCACTTCACTAATTCATCCATCCATTCATCCAGTAAGCAATAGGGCCCTCGGTTTGGCTCCGTGGATAGAGCATTGGCCCGAGGACTGAAGGGTCCCGGGTTTGATTCTGGTCAAGGGCATGTACCTTGGTTGTAGGCTTGATCCCTGGCCCCGGGCAGGGCCTGTTTGGGAGGCAACCAAGCGATGTGTCTCCTCACCTCGATGTTTCTCTCTCTGTCTTTCCCCCATCCTTCCACTCTCTCTAAAAATCAATGGAAAAATATCTTCAAAAAATATCCTAGGGTGAGGATTAACGACAACAGCAACAACAAAAATCCAGTAAGCGATAGGGACACAACACTAAACAGAACAGATAAAAATTCCTGTCCTAATGAGCCACTCCAGTGGGAGAGACAAGATGCACAATTAAAAAATAAATAAAACATGAAACGCCAGCTGGTGGTAAATGCTAGGGAGAACAACACCGGGAAGGGCAAACGGAGTGGCAGGTGCTGCAGTTTAATGTGGTGGTGAGAGGGCTCATGGAGGTGAACTCAAAGCACAGACCTGGAGGAGGTGAAGGAGGGAGCCATGGGGACACCTGGGGGAGAGCGTCCCAGGCAACAGACACAGCAAGTGCAAAGGCACTGGGGCAGAACCCAGAGGGGTATTGGAAGAGCATCGAGGAGCCTCTGTGCCACATGGAGCAGAGTGAGAGTGAGAGGGAGGTGAGGGCAGGGAGGCGATGGGGGCAGGGCAGGCAGGGCCTATGGTAGTTACAGCTTTGATTTTTATCCTAAGAGTGAGTCATGGGAGGGTTGGGATGGGCCGAATGCCCAGGGCGGGCCACCTGGGAGGGTAGGTTTTCAATAATCCCCTTGGCAAAGTCCTCCCAAGCTGATAAAGGCTCCTTTTCCTGGGACCAGGCAGAATTAGCTGTGGGGACCCCACCCTTCCCAGCCAGCATGTGGACCCAGAGGCTGAGGGTGGTGCCAACCCTCCAACCCCATCCTTGAAGGAGAGGTTGAGGCCACAGCAGGAAGGGTGGGACCTTACAGGTACTGCTTAGTGGATTCCTGCCCCCAGCCTCCTCCAATCCGGTGGGCACTGGCCTCATCCCCTGGACCCTGTCTTACAGACCCAGCCCTCACAGCCAGGCAGGGCAGGAGTTAGGGCCACCCAGAGCTGAGGTTCTCACTGGGGCTGTGGATCATGTTCACGTACCCCACGTACACTCCAGGATGGTTGGTAGGCCTGTGTCCCTGGGCTCACGTGAGTGGCCAATGAAGATGACCCCTGTGACCTTGGCAGGAAGGAAAGGGAAGGCCCTTCCATCTGGCGAGGCTCGCTGAACTGGGTAGGAGGGTGTCAGTCAGGAGCCCTGGAGCCACTCCTGCCCTAGAGAACTACTTACTGGGGGTCAAATGGACACAGATGGAGAAGAGAGCCACACAGCTGAGTAAGGAAGCATCTGGATCCAACCATGCCTGAAGCGAGCCCTACCCCTGGGCAGTTCAGTTCCCGAAGCTGGAAAATTCTGTTCTGCTTCACACAGCTTGAGTCAGGTTTGAATCCCTTGCAACCAAGAGAAGTTTTGGTAGAAAAACCTCCCACTTGTGGGATTGAGGCCTCCTGGGCAGTGCTAGAATTCCAGGAATCAGGCTAAGAAGCCCAGTGAAGCCTGGAGGCGAAGATGGACCCACAGAAGCCCAGCCAATGACTAGGAACCACTGTGTCTGAGGAGGTGCCGACCTCCCTGCCACACGCTCCACTTCCCAATGGCCCAAAATCAGACGACACGGAGTAGCATCCAGGACCTGCCAATGACAACCCCCCAAAGAGGTCTTTATTGGTCCCCACGACCATGACCCATCTCGCTCCACTTCCCAATGGCCCAACATCAGACGACACTGAGTAGCATCCAGGACCTGCAATGACAACCCCCCAAGAGGTCTTTATTGGTCCCCACGACCATGACCCATCTTCACTGTGGAGGCCACAAAGAACACAGGTAAGAAAAAGTCTGTTTTCTCCAGGAAAAGTCTTTCATGGGGCAGGATGGGGAGGTGTTGTGCCCCTCTGGGGTCCTCCTCTGGGGCCTGGCGAGGTCCTTGGTGAGTCAGGGTGCTTCAGTCCCTCCTCCACTAAAACTTTCGGTTCTTGCTCAGCCGGTTGTGGCGCCAGATATTGTGTTTCCGCAGCAGCCGCCAGTACTCCCAGGACTCAGGATCCAGCTCCTCCAGCTTCTTGGGGGGGCCCACATTCACCTGGAACAGCCTGATGGGGTACGGGCAGGAATCAGGGCTGCCCAACAGCCATCCACAACTCCTGGGCCCCAGGTACCTTGGGCAGAGGCAATGCTGAGGCACTGACAGGTCTGGGTCCCTGGGCTGTGATCTCAGGGTGGTCCCTCACCTTCCCTGAGCCAGGTTTCTGGCTGTGGAACAAGGGGGCACCTCCATCCCAATAGTGCTGATGTCTGAGGTGGGCACATGCCAAGTCTTCTCCTGCCTCCTGGCCACTGTCCATGCTGTGCACCTGTAATGCCTCCCCTCCCACTCAACCTTTCTGCACCGTCCCCAGCTTTAAGGATCAGCAACTGTCAATGGTTTCCATGCCCTGCTAATGCTCTTAAGGCCAAGAGCAAAACTGAAATCCCTGCAGCCCCCAGGACCTGCCAGGACTGAGTTCCATGACCTCCCTGCCCTATCTACCCCTGCTCTCCACCTTGTCCCTAAAAACCAGGTACAATACTGCCCCAGGGCCTTTGCACCCACTCAGGTCTTCACTCATGCATTGCCTCCCGAGGAAGTCCTCCCAAAAACCTCAGATCTGATCAGGCAGGCTCCTCCTCACCTGGTCACTGGTTTTCCCCACTCTCCAGCCTGGCCTACTCACCACTCGGGGTACTCGGCATCCGGCTTCAGGACCACATCCTGGCCCTCCTTGTAGATGTTAACACCCATGGCATGTGTGGTGAGCCGGACAGGGTCTGTGCACACCTCTGGGTCCTTCAGGACATCACTGACCACACCGCTTTTGCCGCCTTTGCCCCCCTTAAGGACTGGAGTGGGGAGGAGGTAAGAGTTCAGCCCGGTTCAGCCCAGCTCCACCCTCTGGAGGCCAGCTTTCCTTCCCTGCCCCCAGTCTCTCAGGGTGGCCCCAGGCCCTGGCTGGCCCCTGTCTTCAGCACTCAAATGATTTTAAGTTGGACATGGATACTGCAGTAAATAACACTGATGCTCAGAGTGACGAAGTCACTCCTTTTCAATCCTGTTTTGATTCTTTCTGTTTATCTCACAAAGCGCTGCTATGTCTCTTTAAGACCTAACATATATTTGGCAATTCCTTCTTTCAACAAAGATCAGGCATGGTGGTATCCAGCTAAAATTCAAATAACTTTGTTTTGGTTTTGCTTAAGTGGTCAATACTTGGACCCCTCGAATTTCTGGTGATGACGTGCAAAACGTCACACAGTCATCTAGGGGAAGAAACAGGATTGGGAAGCAAGTTCCTGACCTTACCCCCCCGCCCCCTCCCCAAGAAAACAAACCCACGCCTGCGCAGTGAAGCGCGTCTGCTCCACGTAAGTCACACCGCCGTCCCTGCTGCTCAGCTACAGGCTGGTGCCTGCTCAGAGTCCAAGTGAGCCCTACGTCCCTCAAACTGCGCCTGCGCGTAAAACCTAGTGGCAGGCCACTTCCCGCGGGTGCCTTGATTCTAAGAACCACCTCCCCAACCAGCGCCTGCGCAATGCAAATTACCCAATGTCCTCACTGTTCCCATTTTGGTCTCTCTTAACCCAGCTCACCTGGTTTCTTGGCATAATCCCGGACGAGGAGTCTTCCAGGAGCGGCGGGGCCCGGGAGCTCCCGAGGCCGCCAGCCAGCCCAGGTCCGCGTAGCCCCGAATAAGCGTCTGGCCGCCATGACGTACGCTGGCTGCCTGCACGTACACGTTTTTTGAGACGTCAGCAGCCACAGGGTGCTTGAGAGATAGAGGCTCCTAGAGATTCCTGGGAAATGTAGTATTTCAGCCTAAGACCTACGTTCTTTGATATATTAGTTACTGTATGAGGCGATTTTAAAGGGATGTTTCATTGACTTCTTGCCCTTCTTCGATTAATTATTTACTTTAAAGATCACACCTTATACATTCCTGATTCTATTCAATGCGCAAATACTCAAAGCCTAAAGGTCTATGAGATAGTAACAGGTTCATATTCCAGCCCAATTGTTAAATCCTTAACCGGCTTGATTTTGTTTAATCCTCACAATTACGAGATACTACCTCTCCTATTATTATTACCAATTTATAACTGAGGAAACTAAAAATTAAAAAAAAAATAAATATAATTGGGAAAACCAAGGTTCAGGGAGGTAACGTTAAGCCAAGATGTGTCATTCAGCCTCCCTACTGTGAGCCAAATGGGAAGTCTGTATACAATTGGGTCCCCACGCTACTTCCGTTGTCTCTAGGACCTCCTAGAGTCTAAAGAGACCATCTCTCATTCTCCGTTAGTATTTTCCAGTCTCATATCTTCCCATAGGCCATCCCTTGGAATAACGACCACAGTCGTAGGAAACCGATAGCGATTATTAATCCCATTTTGCAGTTAAGGAAACAGGCCCAGAGGCCAGCCCCGATTCCCACGCTACGTAAACGGAGGCTTGGGATTCGAACTTGCAGTTCTGATACCTGGCGCCCCCGCGCGGCGAGGTTGGCTGAGAGAACTACATTTCCCAGCAGGCTCCGCAAGGGAGCGCATGCCCAGTAGGCCGGGAGAGCTGGGCAGATCTGCCGGCGCCCTGACCAGGAAAGGTGAGCGACGCGCCGCTGGGGAGACCCTGGCGGCCTGGGATGTGGGGCCACTGTGGGTGAGGCCGCCTCGGTTTGCGAAGTGAGTGTCTTGGAGAGGCAAAGCGGGGTTTGGGACGGCGCCTGCGGCTACGGGTCTGAAGCCTTGAATCTTGGGTCTGCATAAGGATTGGGTTCTTAGCTTTAGACTCAGACCGGATCTGAGGTCCGGGTCGTAGTCTGCGGGTCCATCTTGAGCGTGGCATTGGAGGTTTGGAAATTAGGGTCGGCTTTCTGG